GGGGACAAAACCAGCCTCCGCTGCGGGCGAGCATGTGCTGCGGTCCTGGCCTCCCTGGCGCCGCGCCCGGGCCGCGCCCACCCCCTCACCCCGCGCACCGGCGGGGGTGGGCACGCCTTTCCTCAGGCTCCGTGGCGCCTTCCCGGCGCTGCCCCTCAGGCCTGGGAGCGCGTCGTTCGTGGCAGTTTAAGACCCATGAGAAAGCGCGAGGGACGCGCTGTTCTGAGCGTGTGCGCCTGTGTCAGCGGCCTCCGAATTCAACTTGACTTGGGCCCTTCTGCCGTTTCCAGAAGAAAATGGCGAATCTGGGACCGCCCGAGGGGCTCATTCCCACGCCGCCGGCACGCTGAGCGGCAACACGTGCGCACGCGGGGAGGGGGCGCCCGGGGCCCCCGCGGGACAGGCCCGCTCAGCGGTTCCCCCCAGCGCCGCGCTGCCTCCCAGGGCTCAGGCAGGTCTCGCCCCCACGGGCTGCGAGGCCCCTGAGCTGTCCCGCGCTGTGGGCCGCAGAAGGGTCAGAGCGCTTCACGTGCAGGATGAGAGTAAGCGATTCCCCGCGCCCCCGACACCAGGCTGCAAGCTGGGGCGCTGCCTCGACTTCCGCATGGCCCCTTGGCCCTGCCCCCCAAGGCATGCCCCTGGGCCCCCACAGCCTGCCCCACGGGGGCCACTGTCTCGACAGGATGTCGGGGGCCACTTGAGCCAAAACACAGCACCCCATGGCCCCCGAGGCGCAGCCCCCGCCGACGCAGGATGTGTGTGTGCACTTGTCCATTTGGCAAACCCCGCGTGTCCTTGTCGGCCGCCGGGGCGGGGGGCCCAGGGTGGGGCGGCACTTCCCTTTGGCCCTCTTGGGCCTCAGAGGCGAGTGCTGGACGTTTCTCATTTTTCTCTATGTTAACGTGCGTGCACGAGTCTTAGACATTCATTGTCTTAAAAAATAACGTTCCAATTATAAAACTGGCCCGTGGAAGAATGCGAAATTGGGCAGTACAATAACACAGAAGGAAAAGCACCTCTACTCTGCCACCACGGTCACCTGCAACACTGGGCTTCCGTGGCGGTCTCCCTTGGTGGCCAAGGTGGCCGGGGCGGGGGCAGGTGGCCGGGGGGGCGGGCCCAGGAGGAAGGGCACCCACGCCCCGGGGGCAGGAAGCCTCCCGGGCACACCTCAGGCACAGCGGCCTCCTCCCCTCCCCCTCCTGGGGAGTCAGCAGGACATAGGCTCGGCAGGACCTACGAGGGGCAGCGTTCGGGGTGCACACTGGTTGGACGGGGACCGCGGGTATGGGGGCGTTGGGGTGTTTCTCCGCGTGGATCTGTGTGCAGTTCGTATGTCAATGCTGAAAGAGGCAGAAGGCCGTGTCCCCATAAATCCGGGTCCAGCACCTCCGCAGAGCGGTTCTGCACGTACGTTCGCACGCACAGATGCGTGTTTTCCTTCGCCGATGTCTCCACGTCGCCTCGGAGCAGCCGTGCTCCTCTCAGACGGGGAAAGGGCTGCGGCAGGCGGCTGAAATCGCAGCTGGTGCACCTGGAAAACGCGACTGGCTTTCGATGCCACCTTCCCTCGGTCTGACAGCGTCCCCGCCGCGGGCAGGGCCCGAGGAAACCTCCCTGTCCCCCCAGGTTTCTCAGACAAATGGCCCCTCGCGATCCCCAGAGACAGAGCCTGAGCTGCCCGGCCGGAGTGCGCGCCCGGCGGCTCCCCTGTGCCGGTGTTTCCCAAGACTCCAGAATTTCCCATTTTTAATTCGATGAGTATTAAAAAAGCCAAGGATATATATTTCCTATCTTTCCTCATCTAAAAGATGTCTTTTATTTGCTTTTGTGGGAAAAAATTCAGGGAAATGCGTCACAGTCAGAAACCGTCGTTTTCTTGCTGTACCCGTGACCGGCCACACGCCCCAGCAAGGGGACGAGGAGGAGGGGCCTTGCCGCCTCTAACACCCAACCCCACGTCGCCGGGCGGACGCGGGCGGCTCCGGCGGCGACTCCCCAGCTGACCCTCGTGCACCTGCTTCACGGAGCCTTTTAATCCCCTGCATCAGTTGCTGTGAGATTAAATAAAGCGTCCAGACGCTAAGCTTGCTGTGCACTTTTTTCCCTGTTGATATACAGAGACCCCTCTCCTGGCCCCCTTCCCTCCAAAAAAGAAAGAAAACAGGAAGGGACCCCCCTTCCTGGCTGCAAGGCTGGGGGTCACCAGAGTCGCCGGGCAGGAGGGCGGCCACGGGCAGGGGCCCACGCCGGTGCTGCTGGAGAGGACATGCCGGGCGGCGGGCAACACTCAGGCCCCTGGGACACTGTGGGCCTCGCTCAGCTGGACCCAGACAGAGGGGCCCGGGGGCCGGGGGGGCGGGCAGCCTGGGAGGACCCTCGTCACCGGCCCCCGCCCCCAGGCCAGCGGGAGCGCACCCAGGAGCAGGCCCGTCACGGAAACACACCAGCCTCTTCAAGCCAGAACTCGGCGACTGCGTCGTCCAGATTATCCCGAGGGCGTGGTCACGGCGAAGCGCACAGAGCCGCGCGCGTCGCAGGCCGACCTGACCTCACGGGTCACGCGGACAGGCTGACTGGACTGTTTATAAATCCCCCTGGTTGTGACGCTTTGCCCCGGCTCACGGGTCCCGCCTTTGACTTCCTTGAACCCGACACCCTCCAAGGCCGCGCTGAGACTGACACGCCACCGTTTAAATGTCTGAGAAGGTCATATCCAGGAAGGTCCCTGCGTTCTGGGGACCGCAGCCCGGGGCCCAGGCCACACCGCGCTAGCATGCCCTCCTTGGCCAGCCTGCGTGTCCGAGCGAGGCCGAGCCCGGGCCGGGCAGGGGGCCGGCAGGGGTGGGGGCAGGCGCGCCAGTGAGGAAAGGAAGGGACCCCGAGTCAAGACATGCCCTGGGTTCCAGCGGAGCCCTGGGCCGCGGCACAATGCCGGAGCGGGGCCCCCCGGGGCCTGTGCAGATTTGCTTCGTGAATTCTGCCAGCGTCTTGCTGCGTTCATTCAACTAAGTGACGTGAGGTCGCCTGCGCCGTTTATGCAGGACACTTCCGTTCGTCTTTTTCTAAACACAGTCAAGTGAGCATCTCGGGTGTTCGCCTCTGGAGCGAGCGCACGGCGCTCCTGACCTGCTTCGTGGGGCACACGTCTCCCCTCTGGAGTCAGAGGGCCCAGTGGGCCGGGGGGGCGGGCAGGCGGCCCTCGGCCGACTCAGGAGGAATCGGGCGCGAGGCCCCGGACCTGCCCCGCCCCCCGCGGCCGGGACGCTGGGCCCGAGGGCGCGGTCCCAGCCAGGCTCCACGTGGCCGTGCGTGTCGCTGGCCAGCCTGACCTCGCCGGGCACGCAGACGGGCCGAGCGGGTCGCCTGTAAGCTGCCCCGGGAGTCCTGTGACTCCCAGCAGACCCGCGACGTCCTCGCCGCCGCCATCTTCGTCGCCCTGGCCGTTGGATTGGTTGCTCCTCAGTTTTCTGATTTAGGTTTTTCTTCCCAACAAACCAGCTGGGAGAACGGGGCACAGGGAGGCGGCAGGCGCCTCCAGGTGCGGCCCAGGGGAGGGGCCTCCCCTCCGAGGGCCGCCCGCCCCCTCCTCCGCCCCCTCCTCCGCCCCCTCCTCTGCCCCACTCCAGCTGACCACGGGAAAACCACCCGTCCCCGACGGCGCCGGGACGGCGCCCAGGCGGGCCCCGAGTGGCCCTTGCCATGCTGTGCAGGCCGGCCACGGGGCGAGAGACAGGCTGCATCCAGCCCGGGGAGCCGGCCGAGCCTCGCCGTGCAGGGCCCAGGGCTTCGGGGGACGCCCGCCCAGGGCCACCGTGGGAGACCTCGCCGGCCGCGGGGCCTCCAGGACTTCAGCCCTACGCCGTCCCTGTCTCCCTGGGACGGCCCAGCCGCCCAGCCGCTCAGACGCTCAGACGCACGAGCCGTTCTTCTCCGACCCCTGGGACGCCCCTCTCGGTCCTCAGACCGGGTGCCCCTCCTGGTTCCTCCCGACCCGCAGCGCCCACGCTCCCCGGTGCTGCCCCATCTGCTCCCCTGCGCTGCCTCCCCCACACATCCGAACGCTGCAGGAGTGAGAATGTCCTCCCACGGCACCGCCCGCCCTCCGGGCGCCTGAGTGACGGGCTCCCCTGGCGGGCGGCCAAGCCCCGGGGCCGAGGGGCCCGGCTGCGAGGCCTGGCCGGCCGCCCACAGGGACGCTCGGCCGCTGCCCGGCCAGGGCCGACGCAATGTTCCGCCGCCTCCGGCCGACCCGTGAGCTCTGCCCCGCCGCGAACTGCAGGGCGTGCACCTGTAGCGGAGGCGGCGCGGTGCCCGCACGCCCTGCGCACGGCTCTTCGTTACGGCGCGGCCAACCCGCCGGCGCGTATTCCGGAGCATCTGGCATCGGGGACTCTGCCAGGCCCCGAGCAGAAGCGCGGCACGGCCCCCCGCCCCGCACCAGCGAAGAGCCCTCGCTTCACTCCTTTTCCTCGCGCCTACAGAAACACCCGATCCCCCCTCCAAGTATGGAAATCTCATAAAAAAAACTACTGCCAAGTGGAATATAGAAATCGAAGAAGAAAGGATCCAGAACGCTACTTGGCACTGGCCTCTGAAGGAATCTGAAAATTGTTTTCATAACGTGTCCCCAATTAAGGAGCAGATGTAACAGGCTTTGCTTGGCAACACTGGGTAATCCCGAGGGAGCGTGGCGTCCACACCCGGCGCCCACAGCCGAGTGGACCACACCGCCCAGTGGGGCCCCCGAAATTCACAGTTTAGGAGAAGCCAGAGCAATTCCACCCCTGGACCCGGAGGGAACAGGGAGTGGAGCCTGCAGGCCAGCTGGAGGGGCGGCACGTTCCTGGGACCTGGGGGCGGGGGGAGCTTCCTTTGCTTAAGTGCCTGGGGTCTGTGGGAGCCGCCCTATGTTTCTCAGCAGAGGGGACACGCCCCACCTTAGTCCACTGTGCGTCCACGGCCTGGGAGGCAGGGTGACCTTGGGGAGCTCAGCTCACCGCTGCGGCCATTCCGCAGCTGCCCCTGAGCAGGGCTGAGGGGCGAATGGCCCAGGGAACCCGGGGCTCCTCGGAGACCCCCCACTCCCGCATGGAGTCCAGCTGACGACCAGCTGCTCCAAACTTTGGCCTTGGGCCCCAGAAAAGGGGGAGAAAAGAGGCCCCAGGCAGCGGAGGAGGGTTTCCGGGAACTGCAAAGGGCCGAGCGGAGTAGGTCCAGCCAGGCCGAGCTCCGAGCTCCGAGCTGGGGCTGTGGCTTTGGAACAGGTGACAAAGGGTGACAGCGGGAGGAGTCACGGCTCCCGACCTCCACTGAAGCCCTGCTCTGAAACCCGAACTCCAACCCTGGAGCGGGGCAGGCTGGGGGCGCTGCTCTGGTTACCCGGGAACTGCTGGAGTGCGAACACGCGAGTGCACGAAACTGCGCGCCTGCGGGGGTTTCAGGCGCCCAGGGAGCCCCACTCGCGCGGCCTGACGGCCCTGCCGTCCACGCAGAGGTCCCGGACCTACTCAGCACGCCCCTCCCCGCGCCTTGACCGAGGCCGCTCTCGGCGCCCGCAGCCCCACCACCGGAGGGCGGGGCGTGAGGAAGCCCCCGCCCCGCTCCCACGCTCGGGTTCTGAGTTTGTAGAATTCGCGGGATTCGGGTCCCTGCCGGTCCCCGCAGGTCCCCGCAGGTCCGCGCCCCGACCAGAGAAGGCAGCGCTGAGAGGGTGCCGTGCATGTGTGCGCGCGTGTGCATGTGTGTACGCGTGCGTTTGTGTGTGTGCCTGTGCAAGCATGTGCGCGCGCGCGCGCGCGGGCGGGGGTGATGTTCACTACCGCAGGGGCGGCGGGGGGCGCAGAAAGGGCCAGGAAAAGGCCCCCGCGACGCGGAGAGCTCGCCCACATCCTGCCTCCTCCCTGGGGAGCCGGTGCGCCCACCAGCCCGGCCTGGGCGCGCTCCTTTGGGACGCTGTTCCCCCATTCGGTGCCCCCGCCGACCTCGCTCCCGGCCCCCGTCCACGTCGCAGACACTGCTGTGCCCCGCCCCGCCCCCACGCCCCCGGCCTTGCTCTCACCTGGGCTTGGGCAGGTCCGACCGCACAGGTGGGGCGGCGGCAGGAACCAGGCTCCAGCCGCCGGCCGCGGGGACCTCTGTGAGAGCGCACTGAGCGGCCGAGCTTGTGGGGAGCCAGGGGGCGGCACCCGGCACAGCCCGGACCCCAGCGCCAGTGGCCGGGGGTTGGTGCGGGGGGAAGGAGGGCGCTTCCAACGCCTCTCCGCATCTCCTTTGCCCCCACCCCGCCGCGCGGCAGGGCAGAAATTGTGCGCACCTGCCCATCCCCGCTTGGGGCAGGAGCCTGCAGCCCCCACCCCCACGCCCCCTGCTCTGCTGGCCCTGGCCCAGCCGGGTAGGTCCCTGACCGCTCCCCCAGCCCACGCTTCTTCCCCGGGACCCTCCGGGGTAGACCTGGAGCCCCACCGCGCGCACAACTTTACCTCGGGACCGGACTCCGCGGGCTGCCGCTTCCCTCGCCCGGCCGGCGGCCTCCACGGGGCGGAGCGCGGCGTCTCCGGAGCCCGCAGCCCGCGGAGTCCGGCACCGCCCCGCGCGCCGCCCCCGGCCCGGCTGGGCCCCGGCGATCCACACGGCAGCGGTGGCGCGGCGCCCCCTCGCGCCCGTCCGCGGGGCGCGAGGGCGAAAGGACCACGGCGTGGCTGCCAGGAGTCCGCTGGGAGCGAACCCGCAGGGCGCGCGAGCCTCGCATCCGCTGCGCGCACCGCGGCCGCCAGGCACTCGTGCTCCCACACGCAGAGGCTCCCGCACCCGCAGCAGCCCTCGGGCAAAGGGCAGAGGAGGGGCTCTCAAGGGGGCGCCGGGGGGCCCTGGGGGAGCCACCCCGGGGGCTCGGGACGGTCGCGTGGGTCCGGCCTGGCCGGTGGACCCGGATGACCAGGCGCACTCTGGCGAGGGGTTTCACCGCTTCGTTTACCAGAAGGCAGTGTTCTCTGCAGCTCGGGCCTGAGCACCCTGGTCGGAGAGAAAGCTTTTTCTCCATAGAAACACTAATTGGATTTACAGCCAGAGAGGCCTGGCCACCCTTCCCTTAGGCGAGGCCTCCCCACGATCGTCCCCGCAGGGGCCACCCTGGGGTGGGCATCGGTGGCTGCCGGGGGCCTGGGCGACATGCCCTTCGACACAGGAGCCCCCACCCCGAGAAACGCTGGCTGAAACGCAAACAAGCCAACAACACGCTTCCCGGGGAGTGCTGGGCCGCGCCCGCCTGGCACGGGGCGCCCAGCTGCTGGCAGATTCTTTTAGGCCGGCCGGGCCTGTGCGATGGCTCCGCGCGGGGCCCCTTCCCCTGCTCGCGGGGGGCGTCCCTGGCCCGCCCCGCCCCGCTGCCTCCCACAGGCCGGCACCGGGCGTCACGTCCCTGGGGGGCCGTGGCCATGCAGTGGGGACCCGCTGTCACCCCCTCCTGTTCCTGGCGCTCCCCCCTTCCGTACCCGCGCTTTCCTGGGGCCCCGTCACCTCTTCCCTCAGCCCTGGCTTTTCAGTCAACAAGAACGTGCAGGTCACGCTCTCTCTGCACTTGTGCGGCTGTTTACAGACTTGGCCCCGACCCATAAATTCCGGCTCTTTGGCCCCTTCCTCTCTCTCGGAGCTGTGTGTCCCAATGTGTTCCTGCTCAGTGGCACCGGATTAGTTTGCAGTGACCTTTCCCGCGAGCCTGTCAGGTGTTTCCGAGTCAACCTCATCATGCAACGCACCTGGGCCTTCTCACCTTGAGCCGCTGGAGCACCACCGAGCCCAGGGCATCCCGACGCCGTCCCCGAGGAAGCCGGCGGGCGGGGTCCACGAGTCGCTGTGGACAACGGCCGCTGGGCGCTGCCCTGTCTCCGTCCCGGCTGCTCCGGAACTCACGTTTCCGTTGTGTGTGGGAGGCGTCCAGAGACGGGCCACGACCTTTCTGAAATTGAGTATAACCAATGAGGCGTCTGAACCAATAATCCACCAATGTTAGCCCCTCCTCTCCCTCGAAAGATAGGAAATGGGGTCTGTTTTATGCGACTCTTTGCAGCGTTGGACCACCGCTCACCCCTTTCTCTCCGCAGCAGGGTGACGAGGCCCCGCCGGCCGCAGCGGCTGTGGGTCCCGGGCCACCGCTGCGAGGCCTGTGTCCTTCACCGAGGCCCTCAGCTCTGTGTGCCCCAGTTTCTGGGTCCGTGACAGGGGAATGAATAAGGGCTGAGCCGGCGCCGCTGTTGGGTGTCACAGTCCAGCGAGCGAACACTAGGACCCGTCTGGCCCAGAGTGAGCAAACCGAGAGCCGCGGCTATTTCAGGTGCTCACTGAACAGCGATGACCTGGAACGTTCCGGGGAAGCTGAAACGAGACAGTGAACCCAGAGTGCCCTTGGACGCGCCCCCCGGACCCCCCAGGGCTCGCCTGGTGCCCGCAGAGGCTGTTGTCGGCAGCCGCGTGGCCCCAGCCTGTGACCAGGTGCCCGCCTCCCACGTCTGGGGGGGGGGGATGGTGAGGGACGGCCTGTGTGCCCTCCTTTTAAAACGCGCCTCGTATCTGTGCGCACCTCTTGCCTCCCCGAGCCCCTGCCTCCCCTCGCCAGGCGTGGCTCGCTCCCCTTTGTCGCGCTGATGGCTGGGTTTCTGGATGTCCGACCCCCGTTTCTGCGCGCGTTGACGTCACAGCTTCCTGGTGTCCGCGAGGGCTGAGGTCCTGGCGGCCTGGAGTCTGGGGTCCCAGCCCCGGTCACAGGGACGGGGCAACAGGGGACAAGGTTGCCGACGGTGGCACCCATCCCTCCCTTAGACTCTTTGTTGCTTCGTCTAAATCATGTCAAACCCGTGCCTGGTGGTTGCGTCTGCGCTGGGCATGGCCTCTATTTTAGGAAAGGAGGAAACATTTACAAAACACGGTTGTATGTCATAAATGGTCATTGTAAAAAAACTAGTAAACTTTCTGCGAAAAATACACAGGAAGGAGGAAGAAACTTCCTGGGTCTGCCACCTGCATCACCCAGACATGTTCACTGCGCCTGTTTTGGCACCAAAGCGCTTTGGTCTTTCTTCACATAAAACACGTTTGTGTTTGTTTATACACAAAAATACCATCATACTGTCCGCTGGATTTTGGTCCCTTTTCACAGGCAGCGGACGTTCTCAGTGGTCTCCGGGCTCCCCCAGCATTTAGGGGAGCGCACAGCAGGCCACCCTGCGCCAGCAGCCTCCCGGAACCGGCGCTGTGGCTGGGCTCGCTGTCCCCTGTTCTCCGCTGTTGTAGGCGGCGCTGCCTTTAACGCCTCAGAGCCTGGCCTGAGCACAGCCGCAGCCGGCGGGTCAGCGGACGGGCGCCCGGCGGGGCAGGCGCGCTCGGCGTCCCTGCCTGGCGTCCCCTGTGCCCGAGAGCCGTCCCCGGGAGTGCGCCAGCGGGGAGGGAGGAGGGCGGACACGGCCCTTACGCAGACGCCTCCGCACTTCCTTTCCCGATGTTTCCCAAGTTGGTGATTTTCCTCTTGATGTTGAACTGTAATTTTCATTTCTTGGCTGATTTTCAAAACAAGATGATACATTCCCTCCTTTTCCTGGTCACAGCTTGGCTGAGAGAGGATTCAGACACCACACGGTCCACGCATTCCCACGAGCGGCTCCCTGAGCTCAGGGCACTCACAGCTGTGTGCCTGCCACCTCAGACGGCCACCACCCTCGTCTCCCGGCGGCCCGGACCCTTCACCGCTGCCCGGGCCTCCCGGCCCCTGCGGCCCCGCCCCCCGCGGCTGCCTGTCTGCCTGGCTCCCCTGGGTTTGCTGGCACTTCTGAGCGAGAAGGAACGGGCTTCCCCCAGCCCATGGGCCATGCCCTCAGCCCCCACCCCGACCCCACGGACTCCTTCGGACACGGGCTTTCTTCCGTCTGCCTGGCTCCGAGCTTTCTGTTTCGTTCATTCTTCTTACCGTGGAAGGAGGTGGCCCCTCTGACTTCATCTCCCGCCCTGTCTGCACTCGGCGGCCGCAGCCCCTCTCCTCCAGGGCGGGCTCTGCCCACCGATCGCAGCCCCCCTGCACCCAGCGGCCCCGGAAAGCAACGTCTTCCTGTGCTTCTGCTCTCAGTCTTCTTCCCCTTGAGGGTTCCCTTGAGCGTTTTATGTCCAGGTCACACAGCGGGTCCCCCAGACGCCCGACAGCCAGTGTCTCCAGCTGGCCTTTCTCGTCTGCCCTGCCGTTCGCTTTGATAGATCAAACGCTTCCCATCACAAAGCGACCGTTCTGTCTGAGCTTCCTCCAGTTTCCCCTTGAAAAGTTCACTACTTTTCATGCTCTGCCCTAAGTTACCCGGGGCTGCGTGTCTGTTATTCTGTTTCCTATTGTAACTCCAGACGCGTGCATTCAGCCGCAGGCTTGGCCCTTGCCTTGGCCGCCGGCCTCGGGGCAGACGGCGAGCCCGCAGGACGCATGTGCCCCAGTGTCTGGGCCTGTCCTCCGTCTGTGGCCCCGTTCGCAGGGAGTTACTGCGCGTGAGCTCCGGGTACAGGCGCTCGGCGGCGGGTTCTCTCCTGGCCGTGGGCGACGGGGTGTCACACGGTCCCCGGCGTGGGTGGCCCCGTGCGCGGCCAGGTCCGGGCGGCACGTGAGGCCGAGGCCAGCGAGCGCTGGGCGTCCATCCACGTCTGCGCAGCGGTTTCCACGACGCTGCTTTCGTTGCTGTGGAAAGTTCTGGGTCCCACAGGCAGCACCGCGCTTTTCTGCCTCTTCTCACCTCGTTCAACTCCCTGCCCGTGACGTGCTTCCCAGAGCCAACGTCAGGCCCGGCGCGGGAGCCGGTCGGCTGCGCGGGTGGCTTTGTTCTGCGGAGCGGCACCAGGTGAGGGGGCCGGCTTCTCTCAGCTCCGTGGTGCCAGCGACACTCGGAGGAGAGGTCGTTCTCCCGCCTCTGTGAGCGGAGCGGACAGATCCCTGGCCTCTGCCCCATTCGGTCACTACTTGTTCACACCGTCGGTGAAGCGCGTGCTCGGGGCAGCTGTGCTGGGCACCCCCACCTGAAAGACATGTCCGACCAGCTGCTGCCCTTGAGAGGGACACGAGGTGATGCAGCGCGGGCCTCAGGCGACCCAAATTGACAGGCCCTTAGCAGCAGCCGAGTCACCTCACTGAGACGTCACTTGTCACCTCGGACTTAGCACATTGGTCCACAAGGACAGGTGCCGTCCACCGAGCTGCCCGTCGCCGTGAACTGGCCCCTGCTCGTGCCCCCAGGGGCACTCCTTGGTCAGCTGCGCGGTGCAGGGTCGGCGCCCGGTGTCTGAGGCGCACAGGCTCCCAGCCGTCAAAGGAGCTTCTGCTCTTGGGGACCTGCAGACGGTGCCAGGCGTGACGGCGAAGGGAGACGCTGTGACAGACAGCTGGGCGGGCGGGGGCTGTGCCGACGGTCGGGGACAGAGGCCTGGGGACATTGTACTTTCGGCAAAGGCACGTGCCTGGCTGCCTGGGGACCTGTCCTGCCGGGGGCCGGGGGACCCGGGGTGACGTCACACGGACGGAGCCCTGTGCCTCGCTGGCTGCAGCCGCCTCGTGCAGGTGCCCCGCCCAGGGGCTGCCGCGGGGGGCGTCCCACGGCGCCTCAGTGCCAGGTCCGGCTCACCCCACAGGAACCGGGCTCCAGCACGATGCGGCAGGGCCCCGGTTCGAAGGGCTTCCCGGTCCCTGGCTTTCCGAGATCCGCTGTGGACGGCTGGAAAGTTCCCAGCGTCACCAGAACCAGAAACGAAACACCCCCCACAGGTGTTCCAGCAGGTCCGTGCGGCGACCGGAGGCCCCATGTCCCTGGGCTGTGCTCGCTGGACGCCCGGGCGGCCGAAGCCGTTAGAGAGCCCGAGACTGTTGCTGCGGAGGGGAAAAGCACCCAACGCTGCCGGGTTTAAATTTTTCTTGGCTGTTGCCTTGGACTCTGGCCAAGTTGTGAAGCTGAAGCTCTGGATTTAGAAGGACACACAACCCCTGGCACGAGGGGCCGGGCTGGCCTTGCGGAGACTGGCGCTGCCCGCAGCGCTGACCGCGGGGGGCGCCGTCCAGGGTGCGGGGCGTGCAGACGGGGCCGCGTGGGATCTGGAAGCTTCCCGGCGTCTCTGCCATCACCACCACGGCGCGTGTGCCCCGAGCCGCGGGACCTGGCGGGTCGCCCTGTGGACGCCCAGAGGCCTGCAGAGCGCCCCCTCCAGGGTGAAACGCTTTCACCGGAAATGGCTGCGCTCACAGGGCCCAGCTCCGCGCTCCGCTCCGGCGGGAGAAGGGCGGGCGGTCCAGCTTCCTCCCCCGGGCGGAGCCACCTCGCGCCCCCCGACCCCCTCTGCCCTGGCCAGGGGGCCCTGCGCGGGGTGGAGACCCGCGGGGAGGGCCGGCGCCAGGACGGCCGAGCGGGTGTGGCCGGCCCATCAGTCCAGCCGAGGCCACACCGGGTGCGTGGCTTCCTCTGCAAATACTTCTCACCGCAGCTCAGCCACGCGGAGGGTGTAGGTGGGTGTGAGCATACGCGTGTACGTGTGCATGCGTGCACGCCTGTGTTTGCAGGTGAGGGTGTCTGCACACGTGTGTGCCCATGTGTGGTCACAGGCGAGTGCGCTGAAATGGCTGCGTCTGTGGTAAGTTTAGCAGGAAGAAAGGCCGGTGGAGGTCAGTTGGCAGAAGCAAACGGCGGGAGGGAGGAACAACAGTCGTAGGTAACCAGCGAGGGACGGGGTCTGGGGGGATCCCCTTGGCTTAGGGGCAGGGAGGTGGGCGCAGCTGTGCTGCAGGGAGCCTGCAGGAGATCGGACTCGGCCCCGCCCCCGCCCCGAGGCGGCGCCCAGGGTCCATCTGGAGGAAGCTCCGGAGGGTGCCCCGTCTCTGCTCTCCTGCTCTGCGTTTATTTGATTCTGTGCAATGAGCAGAGGCCCTTAAGAGGCTGTAAAGGGACCTGCCGAGCAGGCCGCGCGGATGATTGTGGACGTGCGCTCACCTTGCCGTCGCCGGGGGCAAGCGCGGGCGCGGGGGTTGGTGGGCGGCGGGCGCCCGGGGGGCCGAGAGAGCAGGGCAGCGGCTACACGGCCGTCGTTAGAGGTTAACTTTCATAAACCTACCGTGATGGAAGCACATTAAAGCGAGAAGCTCATCGGTCCCCAAGTCCTGCATTTTCTCGTCTTGTCTGCCGAGGTTACTGGAGGTTACTGGGTCGGGTCTGAAGCCGGCGGGGCGGGGGCGGGGCGGGGGCCCCACTGGGCCACCGTGGCTGCTCGGGGGCCAGCACAGGTCTCTGTGAAGCGGCTCACCTGCAACCGGCGTCGGGAGCCCCGTCTCAGGGGAGTGTGGGCCTGGGGGCCCCGGAGCCGTGGTTCACGGAGGAGCCAGGCGCGCGGCCCGGCCGGCGGGGGCTCGGTCAGCCCAGCCTCCCCGGCCCCTCGGCCCGAGCCCTCCAGCTGCCATTTCCGCACCTGGCCTGTCCTCCGCCTGCAGCCCGGCCGGCCGGCCAGCGTCGTCCTGGGGCGTCCCTGCCCCGCACCCCGGTGGCGCCCGCGCCTCCCTGGTTCTGGGCCTCCTGGGCTGGGCACCCCTCTGGCGTCAAGTCCAGCCCGACAGCCAGCGCCCCTCCCGCCCGGGGCTCTGACCCCGTCGTGCGCGTTTCCGTGTGGGCGCTCAACCTGAACGCGTAAAACCTGGCGTGGGTCCATCCTCGGAGGCCGGGCGTCCCGTGCGCTGAGCGGCCCAGGGGGCGGCCTGAGCCCGTGAGTGGGCCCCGCACGCTGAGCGGAGGGCTGTCCTTCCCCCGGGGGTCGCCGGGGCGTGGGGGGTCCAGGGGCCTTTCCCCAGAGGGCGGGGCCCTCCCTGCGGGGTGGGGAGGGCAGCTCCGGGTCCGCGGACGCCCGCAGCTGGGACGCAGGGCTTTGAGCTCCCAGGACAAACCGGCCGTGGGGCAGCCCACGCCCCTGGGCTGTGCCTCGTCCCCGCCATCAGGTCTGGTCCCTCCGGGACGTGTCCCTCCTGCGGCCCTCGGCTTCCTGCCCTGTGGACGGGGAGCTGCAGCCCGGCCTGGGGCCTGACGTGCCCTGGGGGTCCGTCCTCGGGGCCTGTCGGATCGTGCGCGACCTACGGTGGGGCGTGCACGCAGGCGGGGGCCCCCCGGCCCCGTGGGGTGTCCTGCCGCCTCCGCCCCCACGGCGGTGCTCCCGCCTCTGCCACCCGCGGCGCCCGGAGGACGTCAGGAGGGGACACGAAAGGAAGCCCCTCGGCCGCGCTCCGCCCGGGGGCCTCCGCCCAGACACACGTGTGTTGGCCGTGCCAGAGGCGCACACACGGCAGGCTCTGCACGTGTGGGTGTCGCGCTCACACTGCTCTGGCGCTGGCACGGGAAACCTCTCACGACACACGTGTGTGCAAGCCGCGTCCTCAGTGCGTTTGAAAAATACTTTATCCCTGGGATACGCTTCAAATGACATCGGTGTTTCCCCCAAACACGGCGGGATTCCTTCCCTGTCACTCCGGCCCCTGCTGAGGCCGTCGGGTTTCCTTTCCTCCCTGGACGTTCTGCGTGGAGGCGGTCGCCCCCGACCCCCCTCGCAGGCCGGTGGGGCGCCCGTGTCCGGACGGCAGGCTGCGCTCGGCCGTCGCCCCTGGGGCCTGCTGCGAGGCAACACGGGAAGCGCCCGCGCTCAGGGTGCGCCCGGAAACACGGGCCAGTTCTCTCCACCGTCCGGACCGCAGACGGAGGCGCCGGGACACCTGGACGCAGCCGAGGCCCGGGCCCGGGTTCTGCGGCAGAAGCGGCGGAGGTTCGTGGGCCGGGTCCCCCACCCCCTCGGCAGGGAGGACGCGTGTCGGCTCCTCATCTTACCGCGCCCGGTGCCACACGCGCACAGGCAGCCACGCACCCAGAACACACGGGCCCCGGGCCGGTGGGAGCCACCCGGGCACCCCATCCACCGCACTGACCTGGGAAACGCCCTGGGGCGCCGTGTTCTTCGTGGGGCTCAGTCAACGACCTCGAAGTCGAGCCCCAAGCCCCCCGCGCCCCGGGTTGTAAATTCCAGACTTGCCCGGACCAGAGACGGGGCTCCCGCCTCGGCTGGGATGGGGGTGCTGATGGCGCAGGGGCCTCCTGCTTTCCCCTCCCCGAGCGCCGGGCGTGACGCCTGAGGCGGTGAGTCAGGGTTAGGTCAGTGGCGTGGCTCGCGAGGGACGCTGCCCGTGTTGCCAAGGGCATTGCCGGCCACGCCTGCTGCGCCGAGCGCTGTGCCACTGGGGTCCACGTTTTGGATCGAGTGGCTTTTCCGGGGGTGTGCGCCGAGAGCTCCTAACGGGCTACGTAGGCTGGGGACGTTCCAGCAGACCCTGCCGCCCTGCTGTCCAGGCTGGGGGCGTGGCCTGGCCGTCCTGCGCTCTCCGACCGGCACCGCTCTCCGGTGGCCCGAGAGACGCTGGCTGTCAGTGTTGTCTCGCACTCAGTACGTAGTAGGCACACTAAAGCGCCTACCGTGTGCTGGGTCCTGTGCGGCAGCGAGGGAGGGACAGGGCAGTGTGCCGGGCCCGCAGAAAGGGAGTCGCGAGGGCCTGCAGGGACGGAGCAGGGGGCAGGAGAGCTGGGGGCCACCGGCACCGCAGGGCTGGAGCGGAGGCTCCGCAGGGTCACTGCCCCGGGGTCACTCCCGAGAGCTGGAGGCCTGTTTCGTCCCCGAGGTCCCATGGCTGCACGGATGTCACTGGGCTGCACTCTGCTGGGTGTTGGCCTTGCCCCTCCCCCAAGTTTGTAGAAAATTATCCCAAATCCGAGGCAAATCCAGGGCCCAAGGGGGAGAGGCAGGCCTGAGGCTGTGCGCTCAGCTCGGCCCCAACCTGGGGTGGAGAGCGGCTTCTCTGTGGCCTTGAAGGGGGCGGGGGTGGGGGCGGGCCAACGCTTGCAGTGGGGGGTGGGTGGAGCTCGCGGCTGCCGCCTCCCCGAAACTGTCCGCGCAGCCCGCCGGGTCTGCGGACCCCGTGGGATACCCCGGGTCGGGTCGCAGCTCTGGGACGGCGGCAGCGTTGCCGGTGCCCTGCGCGCTTTCTCCTTCAATTACCGTTCGTTCCCGTAGGTTTTGGTTTCTGAGCCTGGTGCAAATCCACGCACCAGGGACACCGCACCTCCCTGTTGGAGCGACCACGGCTAAATCCACGGCTCCCGGGCCCATTTCCTGCCCGTTTTCCAGGCCCCGGCCGGGCAGCGCAGCTCACGTCCGCACGGAAGGCGGCACCGTGCGGCTCACCTGGTGGCGCGTCGGCCACGAGGCCAAAGGAAAATCTGGCCTTAAAAAACCAGGCCACTTCTTAACGGGTGAAAACGCCCCCAAACTGAAAGGGCCCAAGAGCTTTCATTTCCACGTGGCCTGGCACCGGCTCAGCGTCGGTTAGGACGGTGGAAATTGTGACCGAGAAACCGTCCACTCGAGAGGGGCGGCGGGGGTCCCCACGTGGGCACACACGGGTGCCGGGGGGCCCCAGGGCCGGGGGCCCACAGCTCCCCCGCGGGGCCTGCGCCCAGCGCGGCCGCTCCTGCGGGTCTGACGTCCGGGTTCCATGACCCGAGTGACCAGAAGCAGCAGGACCCTCTGTGTCCTCAACGCGCGACCACAGCTTTTGAAATGTCTCTCCAAATAACAGGGACCCACAGCCTCCCACGGCCGGGCCCTTCCCCGGGACTCCCCGTTCTCCCAGCTCTGCGGCGACGGGCCCACTCGCCGCGGCAACGCACCGGACAGGAGAGCTTACAAAAAGGGTTTTATTAAATGAAGCACAGACCTGTGCGGCGGGGCGGATATGAAATATACAAAACTTTACATCGGGTCCGAGGAGCGGCAGCAGGTGGCCGGTTGGGCGCCAGGGGCCCGGCGCCGCCCAGAAACGAGCGCCGAGGGTGCAGGAGGCCGCGGGGCCCCCAGGACAGGGCTCAGGGCGCGCGGTTCTCGCCACGTCTGCAGCGAGCGGGCGCCGTGGCGTTGGATGGCAAACACCCCGAGCCCCTCACTCCGCAGCGGCAGCCACGGCCCAGCCCCGCGCGGCCGACTCCGCGAGACCCCTGGCGTGGCCCACGCTTCCCGGTAGTAAAACGTCTCAAAACACCCATTTCTGCAAAATAACGTGTTTCTGTACGAGGAGCTTTGCAAAATATACACATCTCTCTGGAGAGAAGGAAGCCCCCGCAAGGGGCGGCGTGGGCCGCCGAGGTCTGGGCGCCCCGCGGGCCGTGCAGGTCACATGAGGTCGAGCTCCGCCTCCAGCGCCGCGGCCATCTCGTCGGCCTCCGAGCTGCTGCCCTCCTCATCCTCGCAGCTGGACGCCCCGCTGGACTCGCTGGCCGCGTCCTCCTCGCTCAGCTTCCTCTTGCGGCCCCTGGGAGAGAAGCGCTCGCTGAGGCCCCGGGCGCAGGCCCCTGCGGTGGGCGGCGGGGACGTGGGGGCGCCCCGGGGCGCCCGGTGTGCGCACGGGAGCCAACCCCCTCTCGGAGGTCGAGGACGCAGGCCGGGCCCTCCCGCCGCCCCACGCGGTGACCTGGCTCGGGCGCCGGGCGAGCGGATGTCCGAGGGCAGAGGGTGCAGGCGGCCCCCCGGGACGGCGCGCGGGCCCCGCCCTCACCCACGCCCCCCGCAGGCCCTCACCTGGGCGCCCGGCCGTCCGCCAGGCCCCTGTCACCCCTCTCGCCGGGCGGCGGGGACTCCTGCGCGGGCCTGCTCTGGGCCGCGGGGGCCGGGGGCTCGCAGGGCGGAGGCTGCCCCTCCGGCTCCGGCTCCGGCTCCGGCTCCTCCTCCGGCTCCGGCTCCTCGTCCGGCTTCCTCCTCTCGCTGTCGCTGTCGTCGCTCCCCTCCCCCAGGATGTCGTCCACCTGCCGGGCCAGGGCGGACGCGCGCCGTCGGTGGGCGCCGAAGGGCCTGCCCCCGTGCCCCGTGCCCCCCGCACGCGTGGCCGCCCTCCTGTCCGAACCCCAGAGCCAAGGGCCGTGACCGCCCCGCACGCCGGGCGAGCCTGCGCCTGCGCCTGTGGCTCTCACAGGGGAAGCGGGAGACGGGCGGCACCGGCTCACACGGCCGCTGGGAAGCGCCCCCTTAGCAACGCCTGGCCAGGTCCGGTGCCCGGGGAGCGGGGCGGGGGAGGGCCTGCCAGCCCGATGCGGCGCACGGTCAGGGCTCAGGGCACGTATCGCCCCTGCGGCCGACGCAGCGGCGCCGAGAGGCAGGGCGCGGGGCGCAGGCCCGACGCCGAGCGGCCGGGGGGGCCCACCTCGCGGTCCATGCTCTCCAGGTCCTCCCTGCACAGCGTGTACAGCGGCATCGTCTCCGACAGGCTGGGCTGCCGCTGCCTCCGACAGGGGCCCGGCTGCTCTGTGTCGGGGGCGTCGGGCGGCTCCTCCCCAAACATCGGCGGCCGGTGCGGCTGCACAGCTCTGCGAGGGAACAGTCGGGGCCCGCGCGTGTGTGTGGGGGTCTGGAGGCCCTGGGCCAGCGCGGATCAGACCCCCGACCTGCGGCAGGTGCGCCCGCACACGCCCGCACACGCCCGCACATGCCCGCACACGCCCCTGGCCCGGGCCGTGCGGGCTCAGCCGCCAGGGAGCCAGCAGCCACCCCATGCCCTTTGCGCGTTGTCTGACAACGGGTAACCAGGAGGAGCACAGGCAGGAAACCTCCAGAAACAGGCAGGACGTGCTGCTCACCCTCAAAGTTGTAGGCGAACACGCAGTTAGGACTTAAAAGAACACAACTGCCTTCACACTATCCTGGCCGTAAACCCCGAACACACATGGTGTTGACGTTCAGAGACGGGAGGGCCACCTGCCCACAAGCCGGGCAGAGTCTCACGGGCCCCAACCTAGGACGCCCTGCGCTGGGCCAGCACCAGGCCTGCATCCGGGGCTCTCGATGGCGCCCCCACCAGGGACAGGCCTCAGGGGGCAGTGCCCACTTGGGACGCAGCCCTGGGCACAAGGGCACGGCCCCTGACGGCAGCCAAGTCGCACTCAGCGCCGGCCCAGGCCCTGCTCTGCCCGGGCCCGTGTCCCCGTGTCCCCGTGTGGGCAGCGGCCACAGCACGAGCCGGCGCCTCAACGCAGGGGCCCGGCGGGCCGCGCACGGAGGCCAGAATGGGTGGCCGGAGCTTATCTGGGGCCTGTGCGCAGTGGCGCCGGCAAGCTACCCCCTCGAGGACACAGCTCCGTCTGAGGGGGACCTTGGTTCTCTGCAAGGCGGTGTGGACAAGGGACGGAGCGGGGACGGTCCCTGCCAGGCACAGAAGCGAGAGAAGGCCCAGGTGCAACACGCGTGACGCGCCGTGCGAGCCGGCAGGAGTGCGCGCAGCCAGGCGACAGGCAAGGGAGGGAGAGGCTCCGTGCAGCCAATCCTGAGGAGGTGGATGAGGCTGACCCTGCGGGGCCAGCGATGCGGAAAGGGACGCCCCAGGGCCGGGCAGACACCGAGAAGCAGAGTCACAGCTGGGGGCGTGAGGTGGCCCCAGGCTCATCACGAAGCGGCGCACACGCTCAGTGCCCAGCGCGGCAGCCGCGGCTGGGCCTCCACCCGTGCCAGCGAGGCCGTGTCCGGAGCCCCACGGGGACACGCCGGTGCCCACGACAGTCGACGGCCACCAGGCCGCACGGCTCGGCAGGAGCCACGGTGACTAGGCGGGAACCACGGGATGCCGGGGGCGGGCGGACGGGCGCTGCGTCCCTGTCCCCAACTGGCTGGGGGGCTGGGCCTTTCTGTTAGTTCCCACAGCTGCCTGCACCTGCAGTTGTCTTAATGTGAAACAGTTTTAAAAAAAACAAACCCTCACGATGAACAGCACACAGCAACCACAGACAGGGAAGGAGCAGCTCAGAATCTCGGGCTCAGCCAGCCGAGACGTCGCGGGTGAAAGGGGAGGCTCACGCCCACGCGGCCCGCAGCCTGGGGCCGCCGTCCACGCCCGCCCAGGACCCGCCCCAGGTCCCCTGGGTGGTCCGGCGCCCGAGGCCAGGACCAACGCATCGTGGCAGGACACACAGACTCTCCCGTGCCCAACAGCCTCTGGCGAGGCGGCTCCAGCGACAGAAGAGGCCGCGCCCATTCCGGGGTAGGAAGGGGCCCCTACTCCCACAGCCCCCGACACGCAGAACCTCTTGGGGCACCCGACAGACCAGGACCAGCAGGACGGGGGGCTGGGGGCGCCCCGACGCGGGGTCGGCAGGGGCTCGCGAGTCCACGGTGCCCGGTCCCCAGGCGTGGTGCTCTGTGCGCTGTGGGCGAGGTGCTGGCTGCCCGGCATGCGGGCGCCGCGTGAAACTGGGGACGCAGGGGAGGCTCCTGGCTCGCGTGGAAGGGCAGCGAGCGGCCCCCGGTGCCGCTGGGGTGCGCACGGGCCCCGCCCTCCAGCAGCTGGGGTGGGGCGCCCGCCGGCAGCCGACCCTCGGTTTCCCTGGGAGCGCCACCAAGGCCACGCCCCGCTGCCGGCCCCCGCGCCGCGCCGTCCAGCCTGGACGGTGGGGCGTTGCGACAGGGACTCCCCTTCTCCTACGTAGACGGGGCCCCTCCTCAGCTTGGAACGCAGAGCCCTCCGCACAGCGCCCTGGCGCTCAGGAGCCCTGTGCACACAGCCGCCCGCAGGCCCCGCGGGGGCACAGGCAGCCGCCGAGAGGACAGCGGCCCCTCGGGCGTGACGAGCCCCGCGAGGCGATGCACCGGCCCCGCGGCGACGGCTGCGGCTGCTGACTCAGCGAGTCGTGGGGCGCAGGTGCCCTTCCACGCTCAAAACAGACCGCCCGATCGGAAGCCAGCCCCTCCGAGCCACGCCCAGCCCAGGGCGTTCTCCTCCGAAAAGCAGGTTGAGGGGCACCCTGTCCGCGCTGCCGGACAGACTGGGGCGGGGCCGGTCCGGAGACCCACCCGCTCTCCGCCGGGGCCTCCGGCAGGGCCGCCCCAGCCGAGACCCACTTCTGCAGCCAACTCTGAAAGGTCCCCAACGCCCGACGACCTGTGCCTCTGTCCTCCGTGTCTGAGAGACGTCCAACGCTGCGGTTTCACTTCTGACGGCGCGAAGGGCGGGCTTTAAAACGTGAGAGCTGCCTGTAGACAGTGTGGCGCCGCGCGAAGTCACCGTGAGACTGCGGCTCTCAAACCGGACCCCGGCAGCGCCGCTTCCACGCACAGGCTCGCGTGACACCCGCTTCCGAAGCCACCCCCACACCCCTCAGGACGTCGCCCGCAGCGGAACTCCAGGCCACGCGACCCCGGATCGGAACCGCAGACCCCGCCGAGCCCCACGGCCCACTCCCGCCAGCCAGGGCTCCCTCCTCTGTCCGGACCCGGGAGGGCCCACGGAGCCTCGGCGCCCCACTGGGTCCAGGGGACGTCCACAGGGGACCGCCCCGGCCCCTCCAGGGCTGCGCCACCACGGGCCCCGGGCTCTGGTGGCCCCCTCAGGCCAGGGCCCACGGCGGCAGAGGGCCGCCCCCTCCCCGGGCCGTGCGGGCGCAGGGAAGCAGCCCCTGTGGGAACGAGGAACGCGGCCCCGCCTGCCTGCTGCTCGGACGCCTCTGCTGGCGAGGCCCCTCCTCCCCCGTTGTCATCCTGACCGGGAGGCCAGCGGGCGGGGCCGCGGTGTCCCCTGTCCCAAGGCAAAGCAGAGCCAGACACTCAGAAAGGGCAGAGACACAAAGCCAGGCTGCCCCCTGCACGCCGTCCAGGTCTCCTCGCAAACGGGGGACCTCAGAAACGAGGACAACCCCGCCCCCACAGGGTGACTCACCAAAACAAACACGCGCCTCGCTCTGCGTGGGGGCCGGCGAGCGGGCCCCGCCCGGACGCCCCTGCGTCCGCGTCCCCGCCAGAGGAGGCCACCACCGCCACGCCTCTGGGACAGCAGAGCCAGAGCGCAAAGCTCGACTCCCGCGCAGGGTGACCCGGCCGGGAGCCCCCCTGCAGCCGCACGAGCCCTTGGCCTTGGCCACACGTGCTCCGCGCACACAGAGGAGCAGCGCCTGCTGCTCTGGCGAGAGGCTGGGAGACGGGGGGCTGGGAGATGGGGGCCGCGGGGGGGCACACCAAGCGCTGGCTCAGCCCCCCAGGTCACCGTGGAGCTCCCCGCACGGCAGGGCTGAGTGACGCTTCCGGTCCCAGCAGACGGCTGACCAAACGCCGGGCGCAGGCCGGCTCGGCCCAGGGCGTTCGTCCAGGCGGCAGGTGCCCCGCGGGCCTTCGGGCAGCACCACGCCCGCTGCGGGCCCGCGGCTCTGTTCGGGCTCTTGGAGTCGCAGGGGCCAGGGAAGGCGTGAGGGGGCGCCTGCCCCGGCCGGGGCGGGGGGCGGGGTGCGGCCTTCCCCAGGGAGTGAGGACGTGCTGACGCCCACGCGCCTGCCTGGGGACTTCACACCCGCGGCCGTTCCTCAGAAGGCAACCTGCAGACCCCTCGTTTCTGCCTTGGACGCCGCCCGAGGCCACGGCATGGGGGCGCACACGCTCCTCCACCAGGCTGAGGGTGCGGTCAGCACAGAGGGGTGAAGGGCACGTCCAGGGGACCCGGAGGACGGCTCGCCCAGCAGCCCCTGCCCGTCGGGGGGCACCAGGGCCGGCCCTGGGCGTTCCCCCCACGTCCCACTCACGCCCCCCACCCGCCGCCTGGGCCGAGCAGGGAGCAGGCAGGCGGCCACGAGGCCGTGCTGCTGAGTTGGGGCCGCACGGCCCAGCCCGGGCCCCACACCCGTCTCCCTCACGACGCCTCTCCGCCCGGAAGGGCCGGGGACCTGGAGGGCGACGCAGCTGGGGTCGGGCCGGGCCTGGCCCCCCGGCCTGTTGTCCGCTGGGACGCAGCCGAGACGGCTCGTGGAGGCAGCGCGGAGCCAGCTGAGCGAGCCCCGTTGGCTGCAGCCCGGGGCCTGATGGGACGGACGACGCAGGAGGGCCCGATGCGGAAGCGGGAGAGGCGGTTCCACGCCGGCCACCAGAGCCCGCGGCCGGGCAGCCCGATCCAACCCAGAGCTGGACGCCGCGCCCAGCCCGCCAAGGCGAGCCGCCAGCAGGGGCGCCGGGGCCGTACCTGAAGGGGGAGCGCTCCGCGTGGACCTGCAGGGGGCTGGGCGGCCCGGGGCCAGCACCCTTCCGGATGAGCTTGCCCGTGCTGGCGTCGTAGATCCGCACGTCAGGGCCGGGCTGGGCCCGGGGGTGCACGGGCGTCGGGTGGAACAGGGCCGCCGGGAGCGCGCCCTGCCTGTCGGGAAAGGCCGCAGGGCCATCCTCCCTGTGGGCGGGAGTCAGCCGTGAGAAGGCAGCGGGGCCGGCCGGGGGACCGGGGGCCCCGCCAGCCCATGAGCCGAGGTCTCCCTCCCCCCGGCGCCCAGACCCTGTGGGCGTCAAGGCGTGGCCAGGACGCTCCTTGGGCCCCGTGCGCAGCCCGGGGGACCTGACCGGGGCGCGGGCAGGCGGTGCGCCCGCCGGGCCCCAGAGCAGCTGCGCTGCGTGCACCTCACGGCCGTCCCCGCCTTCTCCCCCTAAATACAACATCTAAACTCTGACAAAGTGCAAGATGCGTTTTTAAAGCATTTCTCAAAAAGGAGGAAAAGACCAAAAGAGGCACTTCAAGTATTCCCGCCACAGCCCAGCCTCTCCCAGGCCGGACTCCGCAGCGGCCGCGCACGCAGACTGGATTCACAGCCGGCGGCCCGCCCGTGGCCCCAGGAGACCAGCCCCGTCCCCGCCGGCAGCCCGTGCGTGGGGGCCGCGCGGCTCACCTGGGCGCCTTGCCGTAGTCCTCGCTCAGCGGGAAGAGCTGCTCCTCCACCCTGTCCCACCGCTCCAGGCAGCTCCACAGCCAGTCGGGGTTCACCACGTGCAGCCGCCCGCACGCCTGCGCCTGCCGCACCTTCTCCGTGCCTGCAACGGGGGCGCGAGCGCTGCTGTCCCAGGACCCAGGACCCGGCCCCGGCCGGACGGCCCCCGCCCAGGACACCCCCGTGCACGCAGAGGCCCAGCCGCGCAGGCGCAGAGCCGGCCCCGCCAGGGCGCCGCCAGCCTGCAACCACCCGGAGACGGCCCTGGAAACGCCACGCGACCCAGGCCCCGCGGGGCCGGCCGCCGCACTCACCCGCCCGCGCGGCGATCAGGTGGGTGGCCCTGTCCGGGGCGTCGGGGTCCAGCACCAGCTGGGTGAGGATCCTGGCCCCGAGGGCCGTGGCGTGGTAGTGCTCGCGCGTCTTCTCCACCGGGAAGTTGGTGGGGTGCAGGCCGCTGAAGATGATGGCCACGTCCGCCAGCACCCGGCTCTTGAGCTCGGGGACGATCTTCCGGATGTCGGGGGCCTCCCGGGCCTCCCCGCGCAGGAAGCGGTCGTACCTGGCGTAGTAGTCGGAGTGCACGCGGGCGAGGATCTCCTCCAGGTGCACCAGGTGGTCGTCGTCGTCCTCGTCCTCGTCCTCCTCCTCCTCCACGCTCTGGTCCAGGGACTCGCCCGCCGTGATGCCCGACTGCTCGCTGTTCTGGGACTCGGTCTCCGCCTCCTTCCGGTCCGCGGCGCCGCCCGCCAGCCCGCAGAGGCCATCCCGCTCGCCCTCCTCCTGCAGGTCCGGCTGGACGCCGGGCGCGGGCTCCGCGCAGTGGTTGGCCCCCGCGGGCCTCTCCGCTCCAGGGCCGGCGGGCGCGCCCTGCTGCCCGGCCCCCCCCGCGTCCCGCGCAGCCCTGGGCTTCCTCCGGCCCCGCCGCTCCCCGCTCTCGCCGTCGGAGGCGGCCGAGGACTGGCCCTCAGACTCGCTGCTGCTCTCGCTGTCGCTGGACAGGTCGAAGTCCAGGTCCCTGCCCGCCGGGCCCTGAGAGGGCCGCCGTCCTGCCGAGGTCCGACCCTGCTGCTGCTGCTGCTGCTGAGCGCACGTGGGGGGCCCCCGATCGTCGGCTGGGGGGGTGCGGGCAGCAGGCCGGGCGCCCCTCTCCTCTGCCGGGCCGGGCGGGGCCCAGTCCCCGTTGACCTCCCTGGTGGGCTTCCCAAGGCCGTTGCTCTGCTCGACCCCCGGAACCTGCCTTCCCTCCTCGGGGTCCTTGACGGATGGGGCGCGTTCGGCAGCGTCGGCGCCTTTGGAGGGGTGACTCGCTGCACGTGCACACAAAAGAGGAGGCCGCCGTGATTTCCGAGACATGGGAAAACGCCCGGCGTGCCAGCCCCCACACCCCCCCCGCCACAGCCCAGCCACCGAGCCCCGTGTCCTCCCAGCCCAGACCTCTCAGTCCTCGCTCGGTGGCTGCAGCAGAAACGGCCTAGCTGCCTAGACTTCCCTCAATCGTACTCACTCGCAAACACGTTCAGTCAGTACTATTAAAAAACCTGAAACAGCCCTGGCTGCGGTGGCTCAGGGGATCGACTGCTGGCCTACACACCAAAGGGTCACTGGTTTGATTCCCAATCAGGGCACAGGCCTGAGTTGCGAGCCAGGTCCCCAGCAGGGGGCGCGTGAGAGGTAACCACGCACGGATGTTCCTCTCCCTCTTTCTCTCTTTCCTACTCTCTCTATAAAAAAATAATTACAGCTTCTCTCCTGAAACTGAAGCCAAATGGTATCATGCTTTTCAGCAGAACACGAACCCAACAGGCTCTGCGATACTGAAAGGAGAATAAACTCCGAAACCCAGAGCCAACCCAAGAGAAAAGACAAGCAGGAGACAGGCCACGCCCCTCCCTGCGGGGGCCCGGACGGCAGCCGCCCACCTTTCTTCCTCGCCGGAGGCTCCCGGGACCCGGGCGGGGCGTGGATGTCCCCCGTGCCCTGGAAGTAGACATACTTCTTCACAGTGATCAGGTTGGGGGCGAACTTCCAGACGTCCTCTCGGTCATCGATGATGCACACCATCGAGTCTCCGCAGGGGAAGAGGTTTCTAGAAGTAAACGCGTATTGGAACCACCCGTCACCCACCGACAGCCACGATACCCTTTTCCACGCGTGGCCCGTGGACCGCAGACGCCCGGCAGCGGGGAGCCCCCGCTTCCCGAGGATGCGCCGCGGAGAGCGCCATTTCCCCACCGTCCCAGGGACCCTGCGGTGGGGTCGGCCGCCCCCCTCAGAGGCCGGCACCTCCCGCGAACAGCCCGGGCCTCAGGTCCGGCCACGGAGAGACGCCACCGCCCCGGCTCCCAGGAGAGGCCTGCAGAGGGAGGGGCGGGGTCGGCCCTGCTCCACGGCCCGCCCTGAACGCAGCCCCCAGGCCCCTGGGATTAGGGCCTGATGGCAGAGGGGCGGCTGGGCGCATGGCCCCACGCATCAGCCGCTGCAGCAGGTCAGCTCCTGAGGGAACAGGACCCGGAGACGCCACTGCTGCCGCCAAACGCCAGGAGGCGGGTGACTCAGGGGCCAGCCCACCCTGCTCGGGGCGGGGGCGGGGGGTGCTCTGGGCGCTTTCCGCCCACCCGGTGCCCCACGCCCGGCTCCGCCCCCCGCCCCGGGGCCTGTGCCGGGAGCGTCTGGCCGGAGAGGGGCAGGGAGCCCGGGGACGTGGTGGGGACGTACCTGAGGTTCCCCGTTTTAGAAAACGGGTCGATGCACTCGTCCCTTGACAATATCCTGTGAGAAAAGAGCTTCTTCTCCGGGTCCAAAAAGCCTGTGGAGAGCGACCGGCAGGACGGTCACGGGCGCCTCAGGCCCCGGAGGCCGCGCAGCACGGAGCTCCCGCTGCTCCCGCCGGACGCGGCCCCGCGCGGCGTCTCGCGCTTCCCTGCGGGGCCTGTCCCTCACGCAGCGCGTTGGGGGCACCTGCTCTGGACACACTGGGCCCCGAGCTGCCTGGGCCCCCCCAGGATGGGGCGCCGGCCTCGCGGCCTCCGGTCGCCCCGCGGCCCCGTCACGGGCGCAGCCAAGGGCAGGCTGCCCGCCTCGGCGGCACTTCTACCTCACTCTGGCCCCGGCCGCCGCGGCCCAGCGGGCTGAGCGCCGGCCTGAGCGCCAAAGGGTCACGGGTTCGACGCCCAGTCGGGGCGCAGGCCTGGGTCGCGGGCCAGGTCCCCAGCCGGGGGCGCGCGCGAGGCAGCCACACGTGGACGTTTCTGTCCCTCTCCCTCTGCCCCTCCCCCTTCTCTAAAAATAAAACAATAAAATATTTATGATAAAGTAAACTCAGGCCGACGACACAGCCTGGGCTTTCTGAAGACCTTTCTGGGCGGAACCCCGTCTGCGCGGCGCAGACACAGGCTTGGCCGTGCAGGCCATCGCCAGGCACGTGGCCTCCGGAGGCCGCGCATCTCAGCCTGGCGCCAGCAGCGACACCCCCCACGCCCCGCCCCCGGGCCCAGATCTCTGCAGTCACAAACGCGGCACACGCAGCCCCGTCTCCCACTGCGCGCCCCACGATCCAGCAGTCGGGCCCCCAAAGCCCCTGCTGCCGCCCCCACACACCGCCCCGGGGCGCCCCGTCATCCTGAGGCCTTGCCGCCCGCTGATGGGGTGCCTGCCGCCCCCACGCACCGCCCCGGGGCGCCCCGTCATCCTGAGGCCTTGCCGCCCGCTGATGGGGTGCCTGCCGCCCCCACGCACTGCCCCGGGGCGCCCCGTCATCCTGAGGCCTTGCCGCCCGCTGATGGGGTGCCTGCCGCCCCCACGCACTGCCCCGGGGCGCCCCGTCATCCTGAGGCCTTGCCGCCCGCTGATGGGGTGCCTGCCGCCCCCACGCACTGCCCCGGGGCGCCCCGTCATCCTGAGGCCTTGCCGCCCGCTGATGGGGTGCCTGCTGCCCCCCAGGTTCACACCTTTGGGATCAGCGAGTCATTAACAAAAAATACTTGCTCTTGAACAAGAAATATTGTGTTACTTTTACTATAGAAAGAATGTACAAATTCTACGTGACCAACAACACTGCTCAGTCACTAAGCCTAAAAACTCACTAACAGGGTTACTAACGTCTCTGCAATAAAATAAATGGAAAGCCCTAACGAAAATGATGCTGGCCCAATTACGCTATACAAACACATGTTACGTAAAAGCAGTCACTTTCAAAACTAAACCTGGAGCTTTAACAGGAAGCTACAGGAACCGCCATTAGAAACCAAGACCAGGCACTCGGACAAGAGTCCAGGCCCCTCACCCGCTGTGAGCGATCAAACGTCCAGCCACGAACCGTGCCCGCCACGGTGGACGCTGAGCTCAGGCTCTCCGGCCGGCCGGGCAGAACTCCCGCCCTGCGGGCCCAACGGCCCCCCCGCCACGCTTCGCGGTGCCGCCCGGTGGGCGACCACCCCTCTCCCCAGTCCTCTCGGGGTGGGAGATGTCATGGGTCCCGGACGCACAACCGACGCCGGGGTGGGGGGGCACCCAGCAGTCCCCTGAGGCGCCTGTGGAGACGCGGCGTAGCGGGGGATGCCGAGCACCAGCGCGGCCTGCCACGGGGAGGCTGCAGCGGCCGTCGGGCCTCTGGGGGCCGCGCCCCACGCACCCCCAGGCACGCGGCGACTGGGGCACGGTCACCCTGCCGCGGGGACACCTCTCGCAGGCACTGACACTGGCGCCACCTTCCCTGCTGGGCCAAGCGCCTCCCGACCCGACACCCGGAGAGGGCGACGCCGAGGCCCCGCGGGCAGCCCCGCACGCTGCCGGCAGGAGCACTGCGTTCCAGCTCCCGATAAATCACGTTAACGTGCTGCTTACGTGTCCGCGATTAGTCTCCTCAAGGGGGCGGAGGATTCATTTCTCCAACAACAAGAAAAGCCCAGGCCCAGCCGGGGCAGCGGTCGGACGGTCATGCGCTGCGTGGGACCAGCTCCCAGCGAACGCCAGGCGCCGCAGGCCCCACACCCACCAGCGTCCGGGGCCGAGCCCCGGGAGGCGATGCTGCGCCTGACGCTGTCCTCAGCTGAGCGGCGGCCGCGGGGCCCAGGGCTCCTGCCTTCACACACGGCGAGAGCTCAGCCGCACAGGCCAGGGTCGGCACCGGGATAACAGGTCGACGCCAGGCAGCCACCCTGCGCGCTCCCGACACGGGGTCCTTCCGCCTGCACCTCGAGCGTCAGGTGCAGACACGTGTGCGCAGAGTGGCTGCAGACGGATTCGAACCCGACTGAACGTTTTTTTTCCAGTCCCCTTATGTAAAAAGTTTCCTTTTCCAGGCACCTGTGTGTGACCCTAACTTCCGCAGGGGCTTGTGGCCGCGCCGAACACGAGGGACAGCAGCCGGTCCCTTTGCACTGGCCTGTGGGGTCCCAGCAGGGTGGGGGGTGCCGCCCAGGAGACCAGGGGCTGGAGTGCCAGAGGGGTCCCACTCCCGGCAGCCCCGCCCGCCCCGCCCCGCCAGCCCAGCCGCACTGCGGGGCGAGGACAGGACAGGCCGCCGGCGCTCCAGGCACAGCCCGCACAGAGCCCGGGTGGCCCGCTCACCTGCGATGGTGTGGGCGTACAGCCGGCTGCCGAAGGTGAAGACGTGCAGCTCGTACAGCCTGGCGACCTTCTCCAGGAACTCCCTGCAGTGCGGGCGCAGGCGTGTGTGCAGCATCGGCTCGCCCCGGCCCAGCTGGAAGTGCAGGACGCCCTGGGGGGGGGGGGGGGGGAGCGGGTCAGCGGGGCGCGCGGCCAGAGCACAGGGCGGCCTCGGCAGCGCGTCGTCTCTGTGGGGAAGGGCAGCTGCGGCCGACCCCGGCCGTGAACGGACACCTGCAGCTTGCACACCTCCGGGGGGGCCCAGAGCTCAGCCTGGAGGCAGCGCTCGCCCTCGACGGCCCCCCACCCCGCGTCCCTGGAGAACTCGCGCAGGGCGCCCGGCCGCCCCGCGGCCTGCATCCCCGGCACCGGCCCCAGCACCGCAGGCTCTCCCGGGGGCACGGACCTGCTCACCGCCCATCCCCGAGCCCTCTGCCCCGGCAGCCCAGGCGCCGCGGAGCCAGGCGGGCGCCGCCGCGCTCACCTTGTTGGACATCTGCTGGCAGTGCTGCTCGGTGGTGTGGATGAGGGTCTGGTCCAGGTCGACCATGAGCACTAGCTTCCTGTTCCGGTGCAGCCGCTGCTGGTCTTCCCTCCCGAGCTGCTCAGCTTGCTGGAGGGAAGATGACGAGAAGACACGGCTGTGTAAGTGCCCTGAACCCACAAAGAGCCAGTTCCCGGGAGGAGGCCGAGCGCGCTCCTCGCCACCGTCTGCCCCGCCCCCCGCGGACCCGCAGGCCCTGCCCTGGGGTCCCCATCCTGCCGTTCCACCAGAGGAGCGAACCAGCGGAGGAGGAGGTGAGAGAAAGGGTCATTCCTATAAAAATCCCGTCGGCTGCCGGCTGCCGCGGTGTAACCGACGCCCGTGGGCCCCAGGCCTGAGGGGGGTGGGGGGAAGAGGGGGACGGCCGGGCCTGAGGCAGCAGACATGTGGGGGGCGGCTCCGGGCTTCCCCCGGGAGAGACCCAGGCGGGTCCAGGGACGGCCTGGCATAGACGTCTCCTCGCAGGCCAGCGGGGACGCTGCTTCGGGAAGGGCCTGGCCCAGCCTCGCTCCGTGGATGGACACGATGACCTGGGCCCGTGACAGGGACCGCACGTGACAGGGACGTCAGGGCTGTGTCCCTCCCGGTTCTCACTGCAGCCAACGCCCAGTTGCTGCTGCCGGCAAGCGCCAGGCCGCCGAGAGCGCACACAGGCCCGCCGACCGTCCCCAAAGGGGCCACGGCCAGTGGCCAGCCTGTAACGGCGGGGACAGCGGGGGCTCGCTCTCCTCTCCGCCCTCCGACCCCTGCTCCCGCCCCCCACACTCTCACGTGCGTTTTTATAGCCCAGGAGCTCAGGGCAGCTAGAACCGTGTGCCTGGTATCTCGTCTGCCTCACAAAACACAAAGCAGGTTATCGATCCCTTAACAGCACAAAGGAAAACACCCTGAAACTGCATTGTCACCGAGCTTTGCAGAAACGCCAACAGGTCTGAGCCTGTGCTCTGGCCTGGGGACGATCCCTCGCCCCACCACCCGACCCCGACCGTGAACACTCGGCGTCAGAGGCTCTGGGGCTCTTGGGATGGCGAGAGGGACAGACGCGGCGGCGAAGCTCCAAGATTCCTATGTGCACCGACCCCCCCCCCCCCCCGCTGTCACTTCACAGGCTGAAGTGACAGAGCTGCCCCCGGCGGCCCCAGACCCTCAGGCAGACTCACCTCGGAGCTCACCATCAGCTCGGGGACGCTGTGCACCATTGACACGGTGGCCGTGGACAGAGGCACCTGCTGCCGCCCGTTCCTGCTCTGCGGCCTGCGGGGGCGGGAGGCTGTGAGGTGGCCGCGCAGCCAGCACGCTCTTTCCCGAGTGGGTCGACGTGCTGCTGGTGCCTGCTCAACGCACCACCCCCCCTCCCGCCCCCCTGCCAGCGCACATGGGAGATGGGCCAACACTCACGTTCCAGCCGCCCCGGGGCCCCGGGAAGACGGCTGACACCCACCCTCCATGGGAGGCAGGGCTGGCGGGACGCCCCCCAAGCACAGCAGCGTCAGCGCCCGCTGGGTGCTCAGCAGGCTGCTCAGCGGGGGTTAGACGCGCACCGACCCCGCCAGTGCCCCGCCGCCCCTGCGGGGAGGGCGGCGCGTCATGGTGGGGGTGGAGCTCCCACCCGGCCCCGCCCCCACGCCCCGCCTCTCCCAACACAGGCAGTGCGTCTCCCCCAGCCAGCACTTACTGGGTCAGGTCCTGGCCACATTCCGCACACAAGCCTTTCATGACGACCGGGTGGCTGCATCCTTCCACTCGCACCAGGACCGCCCTGAGCGCCGGGCAGAACGCAGAGGTCAGGGGAGGCCCTGGGGCCGCGGCTGCTTCCCGCTCCCCCCAGCTCCCCCCACGCAGGCGAGGAGGCGGAGCCTGCACCCTCCACTCGTCACACCCGCATCTCCCAGCCCCGCCCGCACCCCCCCACGTTTGCATTAAGGACACGCCCCCCCTGCAGCTCGCGCCGCCCACAGCCCCCCACTTTCCTAGACCCGGTCAAATGCTCTCTAGTCCGGGCGCCACCCCCACGGGGCCCCCCCTCGCCTGAGCACACGTGGCAGTCAGCAGAGGGGCCCCAAGGCCTCTTCTGAAAGTCAAAGGGACTTTTGGTCCCTGGCTAACGGTTTTTGAGGCCAGCGTGCGGGGCCCGGAACCCAGCAAGAGCCTGCCGCCCGCCCCTCGGAACGCCGGCGGCGGGCAGCACGGGCCACAGAGCCCATGGGCCCCCCCCCCGCCACGAGCCCCGCCGGGGGTGCAGAAGTGCCGACGCTGCAGACCGCCGACCCCGGTTCTGCGACCGGCCCACTCGCGCTGCGCACAGGCCGCCTGCCACCAGGGACGGGAGGGCGCCCCAAGTTCGCATTATTCACCTGTCTTGTTTCTAAAAGAAAACGTATGGCTTGGAGGCTTTCTCAGGAATTCCCAAAGCTGTACCAGGATTTCATTAATCACCCCTGAAAACGTTCACCTGAAGACAGGCTGGGTGTGTGTCTCCCGCTCAACCAACGAGCAGGTCAAAACGCTTCACAAGGCGCGGTTTCCCGTGTGCCCTGTTCTTTCGCTTTCTGAGCAGTGCTTTTTGAAGACGCAGCTCGTTGCTTTGGTGAAGGGTAACTTACTGGGCTGTCTGGGCGCTGACAGGAGCCCTGCCTCGCCCAAGGTCCCCGAGGCCGGATGGGCCCTGAGCGGGGCCCCTAACTCTGCAGCGCAGCGACTCCCCGCTTACACCCCACGGCGCAGACACCACAAGCCACCGGGCAGCCTTGCTGTCGCCTTGTATTTGACAATCTAGGGGAAAAAGGGTCAGCACCCCCGACCCCTTGAACTAGGCGCTGCCTGTTTCAAAACTTCTTGCAGGGCAGCAGGTGAAAACAGCTGCTCTGAGAACGAAGTCTCTTCAGGCGGAACGACAGGTGGCCAGGGAGCCGGCGAGATGCCTTCAGCACTGAGGCCCCAGTGGGAACCCCGCAGGGCCGTGGCTTTGGGACTGGAGGGTCCAGGGAAGGGCGCTGGACACAGCGCGGGCGCAGACCCCGAACACAGTGGCCGGCCGAGGACCGGCGGGACCCGGGGAGCAGGGAGGCGCGAAGCGGGCGCGACGTAAACAGGGCTGGCAGGCTCTCCCGGAAACCAGCAGGGCGCGGCGCGGCCGGGCGCGGCGGGAGTGGGGGCCGCGCACCCCCACGGACAAGGGCGCAGACGGCCCCAGGCCTTCCAGGAGTCCCGGTGGTCGAGGGGAGGCAGGAAGGAGGGTGACGACGTGGAACCAGCACCAGCATCAGAGGCGCAGAACCAGGCCCCCGGCAGGCGTCGGCGGAGAGACACCAGGCAGGGTTCGAACGCACGTCTGGACCAGGGGGAAGCCCGTGTCTGGACAGAGGTGCTGGCTGGTCACAAGCACACATGCCGAAGCCATCGGGTTTGTGGATCGAGGGCTGTGGGTGGCCTTTCGGAAAGGTTCTCCAGCAGGACGGGGCAGGAGGGGGCTGCCGCTGGGGACCCCGGCCCCCGGCCCCCACGGCCCTCTCGGCCCCGCCTCCCTGCTGGCTTCTGACTCGTCCTCGGAGGCCGGGAGCCACGCACGGGCATGCACAGCGGCTGCTGCCTGTCACCCGAGGCCCCGACCTCACCACTCCTCTCCGTGGCTCCCGCGAGCTGGCGACCTGCTGGCGGCGACGCGCCCCCAGCGCTGCTGCAGGTGCCCGTGCACAGGGCTCCCTCCGCCTGGGCCGCCCCTGCCCAGTGTCCCCGGCACCCTGAGCTGCGCCTCCTGCCCGGGCCTCCCAGCTCCCCCCGCCGGGTGTGGCATGGGACGCACCCTCCTGCCCTGCCGTAACTTAGGCACAAGGGACAGGAGTCCTTCAGAGAGCAGGGAGGCACTGGCCCTGCCGAGCTTCGGAGCCCCGGGCGAAGGCCGGCCGCCGGCAGGCCCCAGTGAGGGCACGCACACTGCCCAGCGCCCCGTCTGCTCCTGCGCTGTGGGCTGAGCCGCATCTCTCTCTGAAGCCTCCACGTGCTGGTGACGTTAAAAGTCGTGTCGTTTTCTGTGCTGTGGTCACGAGGTTTTGCCTGTGTCACTCTACTGGGCAGGTCAGGGCTCCAGGGGACACCTCTGGTCATCGTCACTCAGGAGCCAGCTTCTGGCATCTAGAGGGTGGGTGACCCAGAGCACCCGCAGCTCCCCAGAAACCTCCTGTTGCACACACGAGCTGGCACAGCGTGTGGACGCTACTGCCGCTCGGCTGCCGGAGAGGTGCTCACTGCCCAGAGACAGCTGCCCGTCTTGGCTAAAGGTGAGTCCGAGGTCGCTGCGTGCCACCCAGCCACCCATGCCCGAGGTCTGCACGCCGGTCGGCCCGTCGAGCCCAGTCCCCGGAGCCTCCGCAGTTCGGGGAGGATGGCCGAGGCTCAGAGCCAACCTGGACCACGCGGGGCGCGCACACAGGCGGCACTGCCCAAGCACATCCCGCGGACAGTGTGCGGCCGTCACAAAAGACTCTGATGTGTGGAATCCCCGTTCCCCCCGCTGATACTCATACGAGGCCCAAGGAAATACTCGCATATTTCCCCCCCAAAGTACACACCCACCGAACTTTCCTGAGTTTCATGCTCGTCGGTCCCTGCGCATGCTCTGCCAGGAGGCTGGGGGGCACAGGTGCACCAGCCAGAGCCAAAGGCTGGGCTGGGTGCTCCAGGCTCCACTGGCAGAGCGAGGACAAATGCTGGGCTGGGGACCTAGCCTCCCCAAGCTCCGAGTGTTGGGGTGTCCCAGGAACGCAAGGGCACTCTGCGCCCAGATCCCGAGTCCTAAATGCCGTTCTCACCAGGAGGAAGCAGGGCTTCTTGGAGAAGTGGCTGATTCGAGGACTGGACCAGGGAGCTGTGGACTAAGTGCTATTTGTGTTGGAAAGTAGGGCTGTGCTCTGACCGATAGGACCTTGTCAGGACAGCCAGCTTGAGGGGCTCCTGCTGACCAAATCGGGGGTAATTTGGGCCCCAAGACAAACAATGGTAACAAGCCCCTGTAGAAGACAAGGGCCCAGGAGTCCTCACTGACGAGCCAACGGTTGCACGGGAGAAAGCCAGCCCTCCTCGGCTCCGACGCTGCTCGCTGCCGAGAGGGACCGCGGCGGACAGCGGCAACCAAGGCAGCGAGGAGACCTCAGCGGCGCGCCCGGCTCTGCGCAGGGCTGTCACGTGCTCACGCTCGCCTGCGTTCCAGGGGAAGCTCTCCAGCGCCAGGTTCTCAGAAAGCCCCGGCACGAACCGCTGCGGCAAGGCGCCCTGGGACCTCCAACACCAGAAACTCAGAGAAGCAGTGACTCACTGCGGGAGCTCATCCTCAGGTCAGCGGCCAGGCTGACCGGGGAGGGTGGTGCACTGGGTCACCCTGATGCCAGACCAGCGGATGTCACCAAAGCACAGCGCGTGGAGTTTCTCAGTCGCTGGCTGCGGCCGGTCCCCGACCTGCCTGGGCTGCGGCGGCCCTCTTTGTACCGGAGACAGCGCTTCAGTTCAGGGGCGTTCCACACGGCCACACCAGCACCGGCTTCACCTGCATCAGGCACAGGCCGGCAGGTTTACAGGCTCATTGGGCCCCAAGCAGAGGCCAGCTGGGATGTGACTTCAAAACAGTGAGGCCGGCATGCCACAGTGTGTCACACAGACAAAAGTGAGCCCCTCCCTCTAAGGAAGCCAGGTCCTGCCTCAGGCAGCACCGCCCCCCGCCCCCCACGCAGTGGGCAGGCGTGGGTGCCTGAGCTGAAGGGCTGAGGACCAGGCTCCATCTCCAGAGGAGGAGCAGGGAGAGTCTCCCAGGACTGGGATGGAGGGTGGGTCATCAGCTTCGCAGGGCCGGGGCAGAGGAGAACAGACCACAGCAAGCAGCCCACCAACGAAATACAGCACTGGACAGAAGAGACTAAGCGCAGGGGATACATTGTGGCCCCGCGGAGGGAAGCTGGAAGCTGTGCGCCAATTACTCCAGGCGGAGGCGGGAATGCTCACCTGCCCCGCCTGTCTGTCCCTGACAATGAAAACAGCGAGGAGTCCCATGCGCACACACACACCTGTGCGCACTTCAACCCGACCTCAAGGACACACAGTATATGCACTGACAAGTTCACACACCTCAAAAGAGAAAGTCTCTTTATGACGTTAAAACTAAGCCCCCGCAGCTGAGCCCATCCTAGGATGCTGTACTACCCACTTGCGCCCAGCTGCACCCCCTTCCTGAACTACGACGCACAACCACAGCAGGTTTTACAATCGCGTTCCACAAGGTTTACGAGACTCTGAAGGGCACACCCCCGAGAGTTTACAGCGCGAAGACAAGCGTGCAGCGCGCTAATTCGTCCTGTACTCGCCGTCGCCCCGAGTTTTCCAAACTTAAAAGCACGGTGGCTTGGGTACAAACTTCTATTACAGAAAAAGAACGAACACAACCCATCTCGAAAGACAACTCACAAGCAGTGACCGCCGTGCAGCCTCAGGAAGGCACACAGACGCGCAGATGGGCGGAGGAGTCCCACCGAGGGAAGTTCCCCCCACGAGCACAGCCCCTGGCCCCTAGCCCATCTCTTGCCCAGGGCCGGGCCCCGGCCCCTCTCCTGGCCCAGGATGCGCGTCCGCCCTCCCCTCGCACACACTCACCCGGGAGCCACCACCTGGCCCGGCTGCGCGCACAGCTCCCGCACCACGCCGGCGCGCTCCGACCTCAGCCTGCGCTCGGCGCGCACGCAGCCCCCGGAGCCGGAGCGGGCAGGGGCGGGCCCGGCGGGCGGCGTGGAGGAGGCGGCCTCGCACACGGCCAAAACCGAGCCGATGCGCACGGTCGCGCCCACCGCCACCCTCCACTCCAGCAGGCGTAGCGGTCCGGGGCCCGGGCAGCGCACCTCCGCCACGGCCGCCGGCGGGGTGCCCTCGGCGGGAACGCGGTCGGCGGGCGGCGCCTCCATCGCGGCCGGCAGGGTCGCTGTGGAGATGCGGCGGGCGGGCGCTCAGGGCCCGGCGCCCATCGCGGACGGACGGGCGGGCGGGAGATCCCGGCCCTGGCGGCGGCGGTGGCTGCGCTGTGACTCCCAATCCGGCACCGGCTTCCACCCGCCGCCCGGGTCCTCGCCGACTTCCGGGACAGCGTGTGACGTTTTACGCCACGTGCGTGCGCCAGGGGGCCCGCGTGTAAACACAAGCCCACGCCGGGCTCGCCTGGCGCTGCACCAGCCATGGGTACCGGAAGCATCCCCAAACCAAACGCGTGGGGTTGGGCCCGGCGGGGATAATGTCGCTACGCCCAGTTTACTCTGTGAACATCGGTACCGGCATGCAACGCGCGCCGCTGTCTCACAGGTCCCTTTACGCGCTGATGACCGGGGGCTATTTCGACCGTGAGTCCCAGCGTGCACCGCGCGCTACCTTACTGCGGTCTCCATCAGGCGCTGCGAGTCCCGGCATGCAACGCGGGCCGCCGTCCTACCGTTCTCTCGCCCGCCGAGGTGCGCATCCTGAGAACTACGAGTTCCGGCATGCTCCGCGCGCCGCCTTACCGCGGATCTCCGTTAGACGCGGCGAGTCCCGGCATGCCACGCGAGCAGCCGTCCTACCGACCTCTCGGTCGCTACAGCCTTCGGCCTCAGAACTACGAGTCCCGGCATGCAACGCGGGCCGCTGTCCTACCGCCGCCCCGCGCACTCTGTCGGGCACCCTGAGAACTACGAGTCCCGGCTGGCAAGGCGGGCCTCTGCGTCACAATCCCGGCAGGCTAGTGCGCGGTCAGGGGTCAGAGGGCGATCGGCGCCCCCGGTCGTCCGGTGTTGGATGTTTGGGGTGTTGTCCGGGCCGTTCTGCTCACGTGATCGCTGGGGAAGGCCTTGGTGTCGTGGCAGGGTCCTAGTAGGGAGAGCTACGGGAAGTCGTCGTGGTGACCGCAAAGGGCACTCTTTGCAGCGGGGCCTGGACGCCTCCTGCTGTTGAGGCGGCTGCGGACGGAAGCACCTGTACCCCCGGCAGCGGAGGTCGGGTCCCCGACACCAGGACGCGCAGGCGGGGCCCGCGGTACAGGCCGCAGGGCCGGCGCGCCCCCCCGGTTCGGGCGGGACCAAACAGTCCCCAGGGTTTGCGCGTAGCGCACCGAGCTAGTTCTCTGTCCACAGTGACGCTCAATCAGTCATCAACGCGGGCAATTCACAGCTGGCTGGAAACTGAACACTAAGTAACGAGTGTGTTTGAGAAGGCACGGAGAGTAGGAAAATGCGAGTGGAAAGAAGAGCATAGACTAAAACCGTAGACTAAAACCATAGACTAAACAGCTAGTGCAGTGCTTAGAGTACCCGGCTGAAATATTTACAGTTAAAGGAAGAGAAACATGTCAAACCCACAGTCTAGCCTTTGACCATAAAAAATAAGAAAAGGAAGAGCAAACGAAACCCGAAGCAGGCAGACAAGAAACAATTATTAGAGCAGAAGTGAATGAAATAGAGAAGCAGCAGAGGAAATCTACGGACCCGAGTCGATTTTTCGACCAAATTAAAATACTTGACAAAACCAGCTGGATTGACAGGAGAATACAAAGGAATCAGTCGGTTAGGGAGGAAAGAGAAAATAGCACTGCCGACCTCCTGGAAAGGAGGCGGATCCTCAAGGACTAACACGGACACCTGTGTGTCACCAAGCTAAATGAGTCAGGTGAAATGATAAATTCCTAGGACAAAAAACAAAGACATGGAAGAAGGAGAAAGTGGGTGGGCCTGCAACTCGTAGTTGGCACTAACCTCACTGTCTGAAGGCTACAGAAGGCTCATGGGCCTGCCCATCACAGCGGGCTCTCCCTCCACACCTGCCCCGCCCCACCTGGGGCCCCCAGGGTCTTCTCTGCGAGCTCCTCCCAAGCCCGGCTCATGAGGCATGGCCAGGCGTTGGTGGAAGCCACCCTTCCCAGCAGCAGCCGTCGCTAACTTTTCTCTCCCTGGTTCTCCAAGAAGCACGTGCTTCTCACCGAAGGAGGATGGTTTCTCTGGGATTCACACATCTAACCCTTTTGGTGAAAGCACCTGTTTCTGATTAAAGTGACTTTGACCCTTGCTTAGAAAACAGCAACACAACTTCCACGTTGCTGCTGTGAGGGGCGGTTGGCTGTCCCTCACCCTAACATACAGTTGTTCCCGTGGAAAATCATAGCGACATTTGATAGCTGTCGCTTGAGCCACAGCGACATGCCGACTCTAGTCTGCCTTGCACAGGGGGTGTGCTTTCCGGTGCTTGAATCCTTTTCCTGACAAAAGGAGGTGACTCGGTCCCTCTGACCACCCCCGGTCAGTCTAGCTGTCACGGAGGCCTACTCTTCCAGGCTCGGCGGCTCCTGCCAGTTCTCCAGTTGCCGCCCTCCCCCAACAGCCGTAGAGGCCTCGAGAGGCCGCTCTGCAGCGCCCAGAGAGCCTTCGTGACTTCTCCGGGTGCCCTCCCGTCCGCGGGAGGCACGGGACTCGCTCCCGGGCTCCCTTCTGCGCGGGCCTGCCGGGCCCAGCGCTGTCCCCGGAACGTCCACAGGACGTGCCAGACGTCCAGAACGCCCCCGTCTCGCTTCGGGAGCCACACGGCACGGCGCTGATCACCTCCATTCCGCTGGCCACTGCTTCTGCCTCTGCAGGTGGGGCCCCGTTCTCGGCTTCAGGCACCTCCCAAGTGAGATGTGCTGTGCGCTGCCCAGGCCCTTCGTGCTGGTGGGAATGTGCTTCTTCTCGTTCCGAGCGGCAAGGGGGTTGCGCAGGGGCATGCAGGCCCGGGCACAGCCCCAAGCCCCGCAGGCTTCCCTAGCAGGATGCAGATGTCCTGGGAGGAAAACCTTGTCTCCAGCCTGTCACAGCCCCCAGGGGCCTTGTCTTCGCTGTGGCCAGGTCTGCTCGGTGACAAGCTCAGGCACAGACTCCGCCCACACTCCATGAACTGCCTCAGGGAAGGAAAGGCCGCTGACCGCAGGAGGCCCAGGGTCTGTGCTTCCCTCCCTGGGATTTTCTTTCAGTCCCGTAGCTGCCAGAGCCCGCGGGCGCCCGTCTCCCCAGTTCGGCCGCAGAGCCACAGCGATGGGGCGCCTGCCTCTCCGCCCCACGCGGAAGAGGGAGACAGTGCGTGGGGCTTTGACACGAGGAGAAGAGGAAACGGGCAGGAGGACCGTCGTGGCCGAGGCGCTGGGGGCCCCGATAGCACAGCCCAGGCTGCAGACAGGCCGGCGTCCCGGGCGCCCGGTCAGGGCGGCTGCTGCACTTTGCAGGTGGTGGCTGACCTGCCGTGGGTGTCAGGGCGCGAGGGGTGTTTATGACCAAGTGCTGAGAGCAGAGCAGAGCAGAGAGCGCGGGCGGGGCCGAGGGGAGTCGAACTGCAGCCCAGGCCGCCCGGCTGGCCCCTGGGCTCGGGGCGCAGGTGGCCCTCCAGCTGTCCATGCGGCCGGTGCGGCTCTGCAGTGAGCACGGGGGGGCCCCCACCGCTGTGGCTGCAGCTGGGCAGCAGGGCCTTCTGGAGGGGCCAGCACCGGCGCCCCCCGAGGCTTGCAGGCCACGCGTGGCAGTGGCAGGCCTGCGGGTCGGCTGGGATTGCGTGTCACTGGGGCGGGGAGAGCCCCTGTCGGTGCCCCCCCACCCCCTCGCCCCCTCCCCACGCATGTGCTCTGCTCAGCGGGCTTTGTTTTCGCCTTCCTACACCTGTGGCTGAGTGTGGCTGAGGCTGCATCTCAGCTGGAAAATTAATGCTTGAATCCTAAATGATAACAATTACTGTTTCTGGGTGTTTCGCATCCAGTGACACAGAACTTTACAGAGTAATTGCAGTGATCCATCCCCGCGAGCTACGGGGGATGCTGGAGCGGGCGTGTGACGCCGCGACGTGGGGGCCTCCCTGCGGCCGGTCGGGCAGCTGGGGGGCGCACGCTCGCGGGGCGCCAGCACGTGCCTGGCCAGGTGTCTCGTGACAGCGCGTGGCTCCCGCCGAGAACAGGTATTTCTCAGCCCCCCCTCGAAGAAAGCGTCGCAGTTTCGCCCACGGACTCCACGGTGACCGCGGCACATTCGGGTCTGCGTAACTGCTGCTGGAGGCACTTTTGGGGGGTCAGTGGCCTTCCACAGAGTATCAGATCAGTGAATCCTGGGGAAGTTGCGTTGGGCAGGGACGGTAGCCGTGGCTTACAAACACGCAAGCGAGAGGATCAGTTTCCACTTTTAAGCCTTCTGGTCCCTGGATGTGAACGCCACGCCTCCAGCACACAGGGAAGAAACACCCTCGCCCCGATTTAGGTACTTTCTCAGAAGGCACAGACGGTATTTTCGCTTTCTGTTCACGTTGAAGCCTTTCACAGTCGTTCCTTTTCAAAAATTGAGTTACAAATTCCCAATGTAAAGCATTCCTTTACAGCGCGCAGTGCAGTGGGTTCTGGCACATTCACAAAGGTCTGCAACAGCCGTCAGCACCGACTGGTCCCAAACGTTTTCAGGCCCTGGAAGGCATGGACCCCGCGCACGGCGGAGCGGGCCTCTGGTGTAAGGAGAGCGGCGGCCACTAGATGGAGACATCCCGCCAGTTTTCCGGCGCCGCCGGGGGTGGGGGGGGCCCGCGGGAGCCGGGCCCGCGCCTGAGCGGCGGGAGGCGGGGCGCGCGACCCCGGCGCCGCTCCGAAGATAAACGTTAGTTCCAGTTTCTCAAAATTGCTACACTGGACGCTTTAGTACAAGAGAGGCTCTTAGGGAGTGTGTAGACACACTTTCTATTTTACTCACCATACAGTTACCTGTGTTTGTGTAATAGAACAAATATGTTAAGCCGTGTTCTTATTTGTGTTACTTGGGATAAGGTTAAGTTACAAAAGTATTATGTTAAAACTGATTTAAATAAAAGCACCAAGTACCTATGGCCCGAGTGACGCGGGGACGGTGCCGTCGGGCACAGGGACAGGGGTCGGGGAGGAGCCAGGGCC